AGTCTGCTGTCGATGAGAGGACTGCTACCCGCAAATTTGGTTATGCGCCAGTCGGTACTAGGGCGATTGAGGAGAGACCGTTTGCTCGAACCAAACGTTGTAGTGTATTGCCTGCACTTACCTCGACAGGGCTCCATGCTTTATCGGTCTTTCAGGGATCCTTCAATGCTGATCGATTTGTCGAATTCGTCGAACATGAACTGCTACCAATTCTCAACCCCTACCCTGGTCCGAACAGCGTGGTTGTCCTTGACAACTGCCGTATCCATCATGACGAAAGGGTATATGAACTCATTGTTCAACGCGCTGGATGTCGACTCCATTTTTTGCCGCCTTACTCACCAGACCTCAATCCAATCGAGCTCTGCTTCAGTATGATGAAGGCCTGGATGAAGCGCAACAATGAGCATGAGTTAGTTCGATCAGACCCTGAGGGTTACATACGCTGCGCAATCGACTCAATCAATGAGCACCCTGACAAGATCCGCAACTTGTATATGAACTGCGGTTATGCATTGTCAGATGCAGAGTTACGTCGGTATGTCGAGGTTAACAACCAGGTCACTATTGATGCTAGGGCAACTATGTAGTCACCTTTTTCTAGCTTGTATGAGTAGGTTTTTCGATCGAAGCAATACATTCGTTTATTTTCAGTCACCTGCCATTCTCACAGGCAGATTCCCTCACAAAATGGCAGTACGTATGCTCAAATGCAATGCATGAAGACGTGGTCTTCAGTAACCACCGACTCTAGTTGCAGCAAATTGCCTACTACTTGACACCAGGGGTGGTGAGTACGGTAGCGATTGAAGTAAGGTGTTGAGCTTTGTAAGGTCATTGTGAAAGAACTAAGCATGCTATCGAGAAAAGAAGAATACCACATAAAAGAGCAGAACTAATAGATACTTTCTGACTCATTGGGAGCCTCGTAAACCTCGAAGGGTCTTGCTTCCAGTCGTTTAGCGTTGGAATCATTCTCCCGCATAATACCTTTCCATACTGGCCAGCAATTCTTCATGAGCATGACCCAGCCCTTCTTAGCAGGTGGTAGACCATCATCCGGTATCTTTTTGAGGTCGTCGAGGCGAATGCCGTGGTCAACCACTGCATCCCTGACTACGTCAATATTGAAGTTGGTGTAGGCAGGGGCATGTCGCCCAACATACTCCAAGAATCCATCCAAATCATCTCCTGCTGGTCCTGAAAGAGGGCTCGAGCCTCTCGAGCCTCTCATGGGTTGCGCTTGGTCTGGTACCTGAGTCGAAGGGGGTGCTTGGTTCAAGTCAAACCGGCTGATTGTCATGGGGGTAGGTAGGTGCGAATGCCCACTTGAAGACCTGCTTTCAGGTGTTGCCGAGGGTTGATCTGTTGGTTTGAATGCTTCACGCAAGCTGTTGAACATGGTGTCATGTAGGGGTGGTTGATCGAGCGAGACCCCAGGCTCTTCATTGGCAATATAGTCTGCCCATCGATTCTGCTGGTGCATGTTGATGTGTCGATGAGCCTTACTCAATGGGTGAACATAGCATAGGTTTTGATGGTGCTGGGCGCATTTGTATTTTTGCTGAAGGGACTGTACGGCAAGCAACTTGTGGTAAGCAACAGGGTCTCCTCAATGTTGACAGAAACATCCTGAA